AAAAAAAAAAAAAAAAAAAAAAAAAAAAAAAGAAGAAGAAGAAGAAGAAGAAGGTTTTGAAAATGTGAACACAGAAAAGTAGTAACTAGCTTATTTTTGAAAAGAAAGGAACTCTATTGTGAATAAGGAAGCAAAGCACCATAAGATTTCTGGTAGTCATAAGATAAAGAGGGTCCCCTGTTGGGATTTTTTTTTAAATGTTTATTTATTTAGCTTGCATCCTGCACACACACCAGAAGAGGGCACCAGATCTCATTACAGATGGTTATGAGCCACCATGTGGTTGCTGGGAACTGAACTCAGGACCTCTGGAAGAACAGTCAGTGCTCTTAACCTCTGAGCCATCTCTCCAGCCCCCCTGGTTGGGATTTCTAAATAGTAAGTTTGCCATGTGTTTTGAGTAGAGTGTCTCTACTCTTCAACTTTCTAGGATCCAGCCTCTAAGTGACCCTAACAGTCAGAACAAGAGTTAATGAACATATTGAGGAAAACAGTAGCCTCAGGTAGGCAGGCATCCAACAACCAGACTTAATTGGGCAGGGGAGGGGAAGGGAAGTACTAAGGAGGACCTGGAAGTAAGCTAGCAGAGAAGAGAGTACGGGTAGAATGTAGCCCAGTCTGTTAGTAGCCCACTACTAATGTTTGTTGGATCATTGGTTGACTCTGCATGGAAGAACCTGCCTGATTGTGGTCTCCCCTTGGTGGCAGAAGAATCTTACTGACAAAACAGAACGTGAAATTCCTATGCTGATTCTATTTTACACATCAGGACTGTGATGTTTAATCTTGGCTTGTCAACTCAATTGGAGTCGACCAAGAGACCTGCCTCTGAGTGAGTCTGCCAGGGTATTTCCTGGAAGGATTACTTGAGAGGGGGAATCCTTCTGGCTCATTCCAGCAGTAGCCTAGGTATAAGAATGTCTGAGGGGGAAAGCTGTGGTTGTTTTGCCTGCTCACCTTTGCCTCTTGCTAGCCTGTGCATCTCTCCTGTTGCTCCTCCTGCTGCCATCAGCCTTTGCTGAGATCAGAACCCAGCTCCTTTGGCCTTCCAACAGGAACTGAAGACCAGTGGCCCTCGGGAGTCCTGCACTCTGTCGGCAGCAGGTTGGGACTGCTGAGGCATCCAGCATCTGGGACTAAGTAGCTACTGAGTTTTTACCCTCTTCAGCGTGGAGGCTGCCACAGCTGGACCACCCTGACTGCACTGTGTGAGATGATGAACAGATTCTCCTTGAATATACACTTATTCTATCAGTTCTTCCCCTCTAGAGATAAATGCAATGCCTCTGGTCACCCTGGTGAGGAAGAGATTTGCATTTAAATCTAGATCCCACTGTATATCAGCTGTGCAGCCTTTGGGAAATTCCTTAAGCTCTTTGAACACATATATATTAAAAAATATATACATATTATACATATATACATGTATAATATATATAAACTCTCATGTATAAACTGAAGATAAAACATGGAACTTTTTTTTTTAAAAGAAGATGAAATTGGTTAATGCATGTTGGGACCATTTAGAGTCCAGGCCTCCAGCTGCTCTTCCCTGTTAGAGATCCTTACTTTCCTTCTGATCTGAGTTACTGAAAGCTGTGTCAAAGTTGTTTACCAGCTCTGCTTCACAAGCACGTGTTGCCTTGGCCTTGAGGATCAGAGGATGAGGTTTTCACCTGTTGGCCCACCTGACTGTTGGGTATATAAGCCTCCATGGTGCTATTGAATAAAGGGCTTCTTAACAATGACTAGAGGTCCATGTCTCTGTCTCTGTCTGTCTGTGTGTCTCTGTATGTTTCAACCTCCAGCCCCTCGCCCGAAGCTCGAGAACTGTATGGTAGCGCATAGAGCACAGACAGGCGTTGTGCGCAGCAAATGCATTTAAAGTCTGTTTAAGCACACTCGATAAATATGAGCTTTTGCCACTATAGTTTGCACTCAGGAGCACTTCTAACGTGACTTAATCCAACTCACACCCTGAAATGATAGCTTGGGGCATCCACAGCTGGGGACATTCGTGCCAACAGACCCTGCCAAGGGAACAATCCGCTACGTCAACATCTTGGATCTGTAGGTTCAACCCCTTCAAGCTATGTCAGCGTCTTTAGCTACTGTTTCTGGGTCTTAGTCAACTACACTGTATGAGAGTTGGAAGAAACAGTGGTCAAGACAGAGATGCACCCCCAGAAGAGTGAGCGCTGATGTTCTGAGTTCCATGTTGTCTATACCCCAGTTCGTTGAAGGCCTTCAGTGATGCCAGCCATGCGTGTTGGAGAACCAGGTCATTGCATTGCTGCCTGCCTTATTTGGCCGCAGTGGAAAAACTTTTTAAGCTAAATGTTCTAGTGATTTTTCAACCCTGGCTGCACTTCCCAAGAAGAAGGTTGTGTCAGATTTTCAGGCACACTATTTTTTATTATATTGATTTCATTGCTTTTAATTCTTTGGGAATTTATGCACTCGCTGCATTTTGATCATATCCACCCCCTATTTTTCCCATAATTCCCCCCCAGATCCGTGCTCTAGTCCCCTCCCAACTTCATGTCCCTCCCATTTTTATAATCCATTGACTCTGTCTGATTTGTGCTTCTCACATAGACATGGGTGTGGAGCCACCCACTGGAGAATGATCTACCTAATAGGGGTCACATCCCCCAAAGAAAACGGACTCTCCTACTCCTTCCTGGAAGCCTTCAACTGTCAGTAGCGCCTCAGCTAGGGGTGGGGCTTATGAGCCCCTTCCTGTTTTATTCGTGTTTGTTGATTGGCCCGATGTCGTGTTCATCTTGTGTGGGCAACCGCAGCGGCCAAGCGCTCATGAGTGCTGTGACTCGGTCATGTCCACAAGACATGGTTTCAATCTGGTCCTCCATGGCTTTGGCTCTTAGAGTCTTTTCACCTTTCCTGAGATGTTTCCTGAGCTTCGAGGGAGGGAGTGTGCAATAGATATTCCGTTTATGACTGAGGACTGCGTGGTCCGAGCGTTTATTCTCTGCCCTTTGATGAGTTGTGGGTTTCTTTGCTAATGGTTGTCTACCGCACAGGGTCAGGCATGGTTTTGTACTCAGAGGAAGCCAGTAAGATTTAGAAGCCCTGTCCTGCTTGAGTGGGGGCAGTTCTAGGCTTGCTTAGTTATCACCATGGGGTTGGGGGAAAAGATACACATATTACAAAGTGGAAAAAGAGCTAGCTAGGTTCACATTTGAGAACATTCCTGGATCATTCGTCTAAGCATCAGAAGAGTGAACAGTCTGCACCCCTAGAAGGCCAAATAGGTCACTGCACAGTTAACTGGGATTTGGGATCAGAGGTTAGGGCTGGTGTCCTTCCTGCTTTTTGCGTTTATTGAGGCAAATGTGACCATGAGGAGAAGGACAGCGTTTCCTTAGTTCAACATTGGTCTAGTAGTGTGGGAAGCAGCTGTGGAAATTATAAAAAGGCAGATATACAAAAATAATTTGTTCCAGGAGGTGGTGGTGCATGCCTTTTATTCCAGCATTCAGGGAGGTAGAAGCAGGCAGATCTCTGTGAGTTCAAGGCCAGCCTTATCTACAGAGTGAGTTCCAGGACAGAGCTACACAGGGAAACCCTGTCTCTGTGAAAAACAAACAAATAACCAACAACAGACAAACCAACAAACAAAATTTGCAATAGAAGAACTCTTCATGAGATGGCTAAAGGTTCACAAAATAAAAATAAAAACTACCAAGACTGTCTCATTTCCTGGAAAGGCTTACAACAGTATTGGGGCGGGTTTGACAGATAGGAACATTATGGTGACATGGAAGGAAAGGCTTAGAGTATGACTGGCCTTTTCTCTTGAGAAAGGTCAGAAACTTCAGAAATCCCTGGTGAAGCCCAAATGGCCCGAGAGACAGCATGACTTTCCCCAAAGACACCTTGTCTAGCTGAACTGTACGTACTTAGAACCTCCAACCCCTTCTCACGCCTCAATCTAAACAACAGCCCCATAGCTCCATCTTCTACCCTTCCTTACAGAAGGAAATTCTGCTAACTTTTAACCGTGTTAGCTGTGCCCTTCGAGCAATGTTAAAGAAACAGGAGGGGCGTTTCTTGTAACCTGTGGAGAGATAACTTGAGAAGCAGCAAACTCCTACACATACCTGTGATAGAGACGCCAAAGTATTTGCCGGGCGGTGATGGCACACGCCTTTAATCCCAGCACTTTGGAGGGGAGGCAGAGGCAGGCAGATCACCGTGAGCTCGAGGCCAGCCTGGTCAATAAAGTTCCAGAGCTGTTAGCACAGAGAAACCCTGTCTTAAAAACCTACAAAAAAAAAAAAAAAAAAAAAAAGCCCAAGCCCATGCTAGGGTACACCTCATTCTTTCCTGAACACCTCTCTTTGGACCCGCGTTTCAGATCCAAGTTAGAAATGTCTTTTAGTAAATCCCCAACTCTGCTTCATATTGGCTTCATAATGGCTTTCCGCAGATTTCTTTTCTCTGTCCAGGAAGGGTCCAGGCACCTCCGTCTGTATTACCTATGACAGTGTGACAAGTGGGGAAAGGAAACCCGAGTCTAGTCCTCTGAGGAGTTTTAAGAACAAGCACAGATCATTTTCTTATGTTACTTGACCACTGGAATTTTGCAGAGACAGCCTTTTGTTTTAAGAACAATCTTTCAGTCACTACAGGGCTTTGGAAGGCACCCGCTGCTCCATGGTAATGTTGCTGATTTTAGAAGATTTTTCTTCTACCGAGTGCACTCTCAGGGAAAGGAGGCTGCCGAGTTGATCTAGCTCCTCAGCCACAGTTCTGACAAACGTCTCTTCTGTTGAGTCTACAATGAAATCAGGGAAAGGTCAGTGCTAATCTTAACAGGAAAAAGGCACTTAGTCATGGCAGGTCTGTTTTTAAAAACTGGTTTTTGTAAGTTTGAAGACAATTGAGATACAACGCTATGTTTAAAGTCAGCGTTTAACAAGATCCATATTGATTGGTTGAACTCTTTTCTCTTTCTTGCTCTCTCTCTCTCTCTCTCTCTCTCTCTCTCTCTCTCTCTCTCTCCTTCTCTGTCTGTCTGTCTCTCCTCTGTCTTTCTCTTTCTCTCTCTGCAATGGGTACTTGAAAGCACAAAGGAAGTATGCATTAAAACAGTCTATTAAAACATCAGGTCTGGAACAATCAGTGCCCTCCCCTCCCTCCCTCTCTTCCTCCCTCCCTCTCCCCACTCTTCCCCTTTTAGAACTAGAGGTTGAATTCAGAGACTCAAAGCACATAGGTCAGGGCTCCATTTCTCACCTGTATGCCCAGCCCTCATTTCACGCTTTATTTTGAGACAGCATTCCATTAAATCGCTCAAACCGGCTTCTGCCTTACTCTGTGACCCAGACAAGGGTAGAATTTACAGACCTCCTACTGCAGCCTCCCAGCTACTTGGGACTGTAGGCCTGGCAATTGCCTTCTTTAAATACCAGCTTGTCATAGCTTAGCAACTTAAAAGAAGCTCTTTTATTACGTAGTAAAACTGAAAAATAATGCATTCTAGACACTAAAGATATTGGAGGGCTTATTCTTTATGATAGCGATTTTATAATTTCATCGTATCTATTCTACAGGGATATAAGATATGAACGTTAAGGATTGTCAGGTGGGTATGGTGGTACAGATCTGTAATCCTAGAATGTGATAGGCAAAGGGCAAAATAAAAAAAAAACAAAACAAAAAAACTATGCGTTCCAGGCCAGTTTGAGCTACAAAGCAAAACTTTAGGTAAAAATAGACAAATAAGAAAGAGAGAGAGAGAGAGAGAGAGAGAGAGAGAGAGAGAGAGAGCGAGCCACAAAAACCTCACTGGGTAATTCACTAGATCTAAACTGAAAAGCTAATTTAGTTAACAAAGAAGGAGCTCATTTGATAACACTGAGAGGGTTCTGTAGATTAACCTCGGTCTGGGGGGATGGCTCTGTGAGAGATGCTCTTGCTGTATGAGTCCAATCCCTAGCAGGCGGGTACAAAAGCCAGGGTGGGGTGCAGGCTTGTCATCCCAGCATGGGGGAGGCAGAGACAGGGGCACTCACTGGCCGGCCATCCTGACCAAACTGACAAGTTCCAGACAATCGAGAGACACTGTCTCAAAGGGCAAGGTGGAGAGTAGGCACACACACACACACACACACACACACACACACACTCACACTCACACGCTACCCAGACAGAATTAAACTGAAATCCCGTCCTTACCATTGACTTCATTCGCAGGCTTGCCGTCCTTTGCCTTGTAGCATGTGGACTCACTTCTTCTGTGAAGAGAAGAGTAGATTATTGTCTTTTTCTTTTAATTAGAAGCTCATAAATGATTGTGAATTGGAGATAATGGTTTTTTTTTAATTAAAAGTAATTTATTGCTCGCCGCCAGCAAACAGAGTCTATTTGAAACTATGCGGCTACCAAGAAGCTGTGCTTGGCTCCCGTTGTGCATGTGTGTGTTATCCACATATACGCAGGTGCCTGTGGAGGCCAGAAGAGGGCATCAGATCCCCTGGATCTGGAGTTACAGGAGATTGTGAACTATGGGACATGAGTGCTGGGAATCAAACTAGCTTTTAACTGCTGAGTCATCGCTCCAGCCCCAGAAACAATAATTTTGGAGTTCTAGTTTCAGTAAGTTTTAAATTGTTCTGTTTTAAAGGGACATTAATTAGCTGTTTGCGACTTCAGCATCGTGAAAAGAAATTAAAGGGCTGCTTATGGCTAGACATCCTCTTTTCCATCCAAAAACGCGGGCAGCACTCAGCAGTTCAGTGCCCGCTTGTAGAAGGAGCTGGACCAGGGACTGTAGGAAACAGAGATCTAGTCAGGCATGGTGGTGCACGCCTTTAACTCCAGCATTTGGGAGGCAGAGGCAGAAGGAGCTCTCTGAGTTTGAGGCCAGCCTGGTACAGAGCTAGTACCAAGAAAGCCAGGGATTTATTACACAGAGAAACCCTGTCTTGAAAAACCAAAAACCAAACCAAAAAAAAAAAGAAAAAGAAAAGAAGAAAAAAAGACACCTAAAAAACAGAGTAATATTTAGTGTTAGAAAGACAACACATTCATGTAAAAAGTTTATTTTTATTTTTTCAAGACAGGGTTTCTTTGTGTAGCCCTACCTGTCCTGTGACTCACTTTGTAGACCAGGCTGGCTTCAAACTTAGATATCTGCCTGCCTCTGCCTCCCAAGGGCTGGGATTAAAGATGTGCACCACCACTGCCCGGCAAAAAAGTTATTTATTTATTTATTTATTTTGGTTTTTCGAGACAGGGTTTCTCTGTGGTTTTGGAGCCTGTCCTGGAACTAGCTCTTGTAGACCAGGCTGGTCTCGAACTCACAGAGAAAGGCATGCGCCACCACAGCCCGGCTAAAAGTTATGTTTTTAACATTGCCTAAAAGGTACTGTAAGTTAAGTGAAGACTGAATGGTTTCCGAACACTGAAGAGGGAGCTGTCACTGCTATGCTACCAACGCCTACTGGGTTGCCTTGCCCAGCCCTGACGTGAGGGCTTGCGCCTCGTCTTATTATATGTTGTTATGCTGTGTTTGGTGGACTTCTCTGAGAGGCCTGCTCTTTTCTGAAGGGAAACAAGGAGGAGGAGGAGAAGAAAAGGAGGAGTGGATTTTTGGGAGATGGAAGGTACCGGGGTACTGGGAGCAGTGGAGAGGGAGGGGAAACTGAGGTTGGGATATATTAAACACAAAAGCCAACATCAACAACAACAACAACAACAAAAACAAAGACTAGTTTGAAAAGGCCCCCTCATCCCGACCTCAGAGACTGCAAAGAAGGCAGCTTATCCAGGGTGAAATGGGCAGCCATTTAGTAGCAGCCGCTGATACCACGTAGGTTTTGAGAGTCAGCCTCTCTCAAGGCATTTTAGCTTCACGGTGAGGTGCTGCCGCCGAGAACAGCGGTTTCGCTGTATTTCCAGCTTTACCAGAGAGGTAACTGTGCTTCAAAGGGGTTTAACCATGTGTTCAGATTCACCCAGGATGTGATCCACACCCAGGATGCGATTCTGGGGCTTTGGGGGTCTTGGCTAACAAACTCTGATTTCTCTCTGGGCCATCTCAGGAGGTAATGTGCTCACCACCAATGCAGCGAAATCTTCTTAATCATTCTGAACTAGGACAGAATGTGTGTGTGTGTGTGTGTGTGTGTGTGGTCACTGGTGAAGTAACACAACAGACTGAGTTATGAAAAAATGTATTTAAACAGAAGCATAAAAAAAAGCCAATTTTTCCTTGGACCAGAGTACTGGGATGATCAAGGATTTTATATTTTATATTTAATTGTTCTTCATATACTTATGCATGCAAATGGCTTCCATATTTAGATTGTTGATTTCTAGGCTATGTGTGTGGCCCATGCCTGTAATCATAGTACTCAGGAGGCTGAGGCAGGAAGATCACAGAGTTCAGGGTCTGGACTATGTAATGAGACTCTGTCTCTAAAAGTCACCATCAACAAGCACAACACTCAAGCCAAAGAACCTCGTAAGTTCTAATTTCAAATTTCTGTCTGTTTTTGTTTCATTGAATGCAATATTGTACACACACACACACACACACACACACACACACACGCGATTTTAAGAAGATATGGGATGCAAAATACTATATATCATAAAATAAGCAGAACATAAATGTGTAATGTATGCTATACTTTTGTATAAAGCATATAATATAATTAGACAATATGTAACTTGTATAATAATTGCATGAGAAAGCCTACTTTGCACTTGGTTGTTTTGCATGTCAGCACTCACCGTTCCTCTCCATCTAGTAAGTTGCAGTACATGCCAATCTCCTTCTCTAAACACGTTTTGATGCCCAGAAGCTGCTCATGCTCCAGCTTCTGCCCCTCTGTCTCAGTTCGGATCTGCTGCAGCTGCTCCTCCCGCCCCCTGATCTGCTCCTGGATTTGCTGGAGTTGAGCGTAGTAATTCCCTTCGGTCTCAGCCAAGGAACTCTCGTAGGACTGTTTCTGAAAGAACAGCAGAGAGACGTGCTGGAGAGGGCGACATGTCCACATGCGTACGAGGTGCACGTGTTTTCAACCAAAAGTCAAAAGTGGCGGGATTCGTAGAGAAAAGAACGTTGACATTTGGGATTGGTGTGTCAGAAGTAATGTTTGTGGATGCAATTCCTGTCACTTAATATATTGTAGTCCCTTAATTATGGGATTCATATTACTTAATATAGCATATTCTAGTCTGTTGAAATAAGAGCGGCGTTTTTATATACATTACATTTAATGTTTTAAACATTCATCTTATAGGGGCTGGAGAAATGGCTCCGCAGTTAAGAATACTTGTTGCTCTTGTGGAGGACCTGGGTTCCCAGCACCTTCATGGTAGCTCTCAACCATCTGTAACTCCAGCTCTAGGGGATCTGACATCCTCTTCTGAGCCCACAGGCACCAGGCACATATACAATATGCATACATACATGCAGGCAAAACTCTCATAGACATAAAGTATTAAAAATTTCCAGTGTACACATGTATTTACATACCTATGCACATACAATGTTAGGTTTTGGATGTGGCTTGAGTATGTCCCCTTAAGAATTTATGTATCTGAAACTTGGTTCCAGTATGGTGATATTAAGCTATGCGGGGACCTTTAAGAGGTGGGGCTAGCGGAGGAGGTGGTGGTGGTGGTGGTGTTAAGAAGTCACTGAGGGCCCTGCTCTTGTTGTAAGTTGATTTGGTTCTAGTCAGACACTAGTTAGTTCTCCAGAGAGAGTTATTTTAAAAACAGTTCTAGCTTCGTGTCTTATGCTCAAACTTTTGTAATGATGCCACTCACCATGATGTGATGTTGCCAGGGAGGGCCTTGCCACAGTTGGGGTCATGCTACCTAGATTTGCAGCTTCCAAAATCGTGAGTAAACAAACCTACCCCCCCCCTTCTTTTTAAAACAAAATACCCTGCTTGGGGTGTTTTGCTGAGGCAGTAGAAAGCCGGGAGACGGACAGCCCCGTTCCGTTCCTACGTACTATCGCTGAGATGGACTGGAGTTCTATTTCCAGAGTCTGCAGGTTGCGTTTCAGCTCCATCAGCTCGTTTCTGGCCGCCGTGGCTGCTCCTGCATCATCTGAAATCTGTCGCTGCAGCGTCGCGCTCTGAAGAGGAACGGACACAAGGATTAGCAACCCGCTCGAGCCCCCTCCGGTGTCCCGGCCGCGGATATACCTTCTCTTTAAAGCAGGCCTCCGCATCTTTGCGGTTCTGCTCAGCCAGATCTTCGTATTCAGCCCTCATGTTGTTCAACATGGCGGTTAGATCCACGCCGGGGGCCGCGTTCATCTCCACATTGATGGTCCCCCCTGATGCGTTTTGCAGGACTCCCATTTCCTGGAAAGAGGTAATCATTAATACCCAGGGGGAGGATTTTGATTGACAGCCACACCCTGGTATGGAACGGACAGTGGGCGTGGAGAAGGAAGCGGTGTGTGAGGCTGTTCTGCAGGCTTCCTTACCTCCTCGTGGTTCTTTTGGAGGCATGTCAGCTCCTCGCTCAGAGCCTCACACTGGATTTCCAAGTCGGTCGTAGAAAGCGTCAGCTCGTCCAACACTCTGCGAAGACCGTTGGTGTCGGCCTCAACACTCTGGTGTAGAGCAAGCTCATTTTCATACCTTGAAGGGTACGAAGGTGTTTTAGGATTGTGATGACCAGTGGGGTATAACGTGTAAAGACACTTGGTAGGCTGAGGGGTAGGTGTTCTGATTCTGTGTGTATTTCTGAGGCTTTGTGCCATGTCAAACTATCAAGATAGTTTGAGATACCTATTAGTTTATAAGTACAATTATTTTTGTGGGATTTTTTTTGCACATGCGTGTGCATATGGAGGTCAGAGGTCAATATCGGTGTCTTTCTTAATAACTTGCCACCTTCTTTTGTGAGATAGGATCTCTCAGTGAATCTGGAGCTCACCAGTTTGTCCAGACTGACTGACCGTCAAGCCCCTCCTGTCTCCACTGTACGAGCACTGGAGTTACACATGCGTGTTGCTATTCCCTTCTTTTTATGTGGCTGCTGGGGGTGTGAACTTAGGTTTTTGTGGCAAACCCTTTATCCACATCCCAACCCCTAAAAATACATTATTTTAGAGGTGTTACTTCTTTACAGTTGATCTTGGTCGTCCAATAACATATCAGAATAAACTAGTGTCAGATTAAAAAAAATTATGATAGATCTCTTTATAAGGATGTATTAAATGCTACTTCTTTGTTGATCTAGAATGGCTTCATTAAAATAGTTCTTTTTGGGAGGTTAGAGAGATGGCTCAGTGGTTAAGAGCACTGATTGCTTTTCCAGAGGACCCACATCTGGTTCCCAGCACTCATATGCTGGCTAACAGATGTCTGTCACTCTGATTTCAGTGGATCCGATGCTCCCTTCTGGCCTCCAAAGGTACCAGGCACACAAGTCATGCACAGACATACATGCAAAGCACCCGTATACATAAAATAAAACACATAAAAAAACAGGCTTTCAAAGCAAAAGACACACTCTCTAGTGCGACTGTAGTCCTTTAGCCACTATTAATAACAATCTCCACTTTCACCTACTTCATCTTGAAATCATCAGCTGTGAGCCTGGCATTGTCATTTTGAAGAATAAGGTTGGCGTTACAGGCGGTCATAGAAGCAATCTGAATGGGACAGATCAAAGGACATTCCAACATCAGCGTGAATCTGTCTCAGATATCTATATTGGCGTCTTTCTTTGGACACTCAAAGAAACTTGGTTTGGAGTGGAACTCAGTGGTAGAGCTAGTACCTAGCGTATTAGACAACACCACCAACAAAAATCACGAATAAAATTCAGATAAGGAGCCCCACAGACTTCACTGTTACTCATCGAAAAGTATGAATTAAATATCAAAAACAAAAAAATTAATGCAGCATCATTGTGACTTTACATACTAGGAGAACACTCTGCTACTGAACTGGGATACTGGATGTATCCCCAGCTCTCGTTTTAGTTTTGATTTCGAGATTGGATCTCATTAAATTACCCAGGCTGGCTTCATACTTGTGATCTTTCTGCTTCGTCCTCTAGGGTGGCTGGGATTCGGGACCTTATCTCCAGGCCTGGTTCAATTCTATTGACGTTGAAGCTATTTCTCTTTGACTATTTGATTCTACATTTTTTGAAAAATTATTAAATACCATACTTAACTCCGGGAACAAAGAGTGGGCAAATTCCACACCCCATACAATTGGTAAGTACATTTGAAATGAATGAAAGAGTTAAGCTTAATTATGATGAGAGCCACAGGCATGCTGGGCAAAAGCTCTACTATTATATCGACTATATTTCTAGCTTTTTCTTTTAAATTGAGATAGGGTCTCTAAGTTCCCCGGCCAGCCTCAGCCTTGTGATCCTCTGTCGCAGCCTCCTCAGTAGCTATGATTAGTGAAGTGTGCCACCACAGCCCACTGCTAAATACTTTCCAGGTTTCCTTTGCTTTCAGTTGTGTCCGCCCCGTGCCTACAGCTACAGGATGGGGCTCAGCCGTTCTTACCTGTCTTTTCAGATCCTCGATGACCGAGAAATACTTGCTGTAGTCAAAGTCGAGCCGACGACCGCTGCCAGGCCCGAATTTCTCATACCAGTCCTCGATCTTCTTCTCCAGGTCAGTGTTGGCCTCCTCCAGGGCGCTCACGTGGTTCAGGTAGGAGGCCAGGCGGTCGTTGAGGTTCTGCATGGTCACCTTCTCATTCCCAGACAGAAGCCCAGACTCGTTGTTAAGGAAACCAGCGCCGTTCGCCCTTCCTGACACCTCGTTGCCGTTGCCAAAGCTTCCTCCAGAGGAGATGCCCCCAAGGGTGCAAGAGAAACTGCTCTCAGCTCCAGGCCCAACGCACACATTCCCAGCCACAAAGCCTGCCCCTCCCCTGGACAGCCTGACAGACCCGGCTCGAGAACAGACCCTGGAACCCCCGGAAAATCGAAAAGACATGGCGACAGGACAACCCAGCGACCTTCTTCCCGAGAGAGGTGCAAAGTCAAAGTCTATCTTCCACGGGGTGACAGCCCCACTGGCTTTTATAGGATTCAATCTTAGCTATGCTGATCTGTAATAAAACATTAGTCGTATCCTAATTGCTATTTTTCATCATTGGGTGATTTTTAATAGTGTCCAGTAGGTGGCAAAGAGCCCCAAGGATATTTTTTATATATGAAGAAGGTGCCAGGGTCGGTGATCCTAATTCATAGGCTCACCATCTTAGTAAGACTAAATCATAGCCCCGTAGATCACAGCAGAGAAGCCATCATTTGTGCTACCAAGATGAGAGTTTACATCTTTTTGACCCCTGGAAAAGAGCAGAGACCCTGCTTCCCACCAAGAACAAAGAAAGATTTGCTCCCTGTGGGGTAGAAACGCACCAAAGTATCTCAGTTGACTTGACTGGGCATTCTCCTTCCTACGGAGACGAAAGCTCTCCATATTTAGCGATCTCTTGCCAATAAGAATTCTTGACTTCTTCTATTTTTGCACATGCACGTATATGCATATTCACGGGTGTCTGCGCCTGCCGATGCACGTGTGTGTGCATGTGTGTGCACACAGGCGGGGCGGCCACAGGACAACCTCAGCTGCTGTTCTACCATTTACCTGGCTTGCTCTTTGAGATGGGGGGGTCTCATTGGTTTGTAGCTTGTGATGTAGGCTAGGCTTGCTGGCCAGGAAGCCCCAGGATCTGCATGTCGGGACGGTAAGCGGAAATCCAAGACCCTGTTTTTTTTTTTTTTTTTTTTTTTTTTCACGGTTCCTTGGGATTGAACTGTCGTCATACTTGCACGACAAACACTTTATTTACTGAGCTGTCTTTCCAGCCCGTTGTGCTTGTTTGTAATAAGCTGAAAATGAGTACCAAGCTCTATAGTAACTTTTGGAATGGCTCTCACGTAGCCAAGGCTTTCGAACTCCAGTTTTCCTCTCTCAGCCATCTGAGTGCTGGTATTGCAGACACGTGCCGCTGAGCCTGGCGAGAGTTTATTTGGTCTAGGAGGAGAACATCAATTCATTGACTACTGAGACTTCAAATTGTTTGCTTTTTATCCTTAAAAACATACATTTTGAGATAGATTCTCACTATATAGCCTGGGTCGGCCTGGAGCTCAACATATAGAACAAACTGTCCTTGAACTTGTCTTATCCGCTGCTGCCCCTGACTCCCCAAATGCTGAGATTTCAGGCATGCACCACCCCACCCCTTCATGGTTCTCTAGTTTTCATCTATGTATGTGAAACATTGTGACTCCGAGGCACGAGTTTCACGTTGATCAGTGGGGAATGAAATACACGGAAGAGGGGGCTGTTTCCATCACTCCCTAGGACATCCACAATGTGGTACCCAGGCGACTGGTTGTCCTGGGGGAACAGATGCGTTCTTCTTTTCCACAGAGCCTGTCTCTTCCTGCTTCGCTTCTCTAGGAACAGATGAATAGAATCACATCCGACAGTGCCGGTCAAAGGCTTCAGTGAGCAGCTCCAATAATGGACGGCTAGAAGACAGTCTGAAGGGCACAGACACTTAGTAAATGTTAATTATTTGTATTATTATAATAAGGTGGACACACCAGACAGGGCCAGGTTGCTGTCACTTACCATGGGTACAAACCGATTGGTCGACTGCTAACAGGTTTCGTTCTGAAAACATGAATTCTTTCCCCAATGAGAGTTTTCAGTGTTGTAGATATGAATTTTGAGAAATAGCAGATGTTTGTCACTACAGCACAAGAGCTGTTCAGTGGACTATAATGTCTGCATTTGGAAAGCACAAATGTTTAAAAATAATCAACACAACACTGTAATTCAGACCATACCCGTGTTCTATAAGATTTCTAAGTTATATCCAGAGAATTATTAGTGATTTTGCTATGGCTTGGCCAAATTTTTACATTTTTGCCAGTGTTTCCCACGCATGAAAGAACCAAGCAGTGTGTTGGCAGAATAATAGTTTGTAAGACTGGATTTTTTTTTTTTTAGATAAGAGTGTTAATGAGACTGCAAAGTATTATTAACCCAATCTGTTTATCTCCAGGTAGCTTATAAATACTCATTAACTTATCTCTGGTAGAATACGTTAAGCATATATTATTAGAACCATTTTGAAGATGAGCTGGCTCTGGAAATAACATGTCCACACAGATCACAGACTTCTCCGTCAAAGCAGGCCGTACGATGCTTAACTTCTGAAAACACAGTCGGTGTTTACACATAGGATGTCTCTTTACATCTCTTCACAGAATTCCTGTAAACTAAAGGTTTT